TGAATGTACAGCGCTCTCTCCCACCTTCAATACCATGACTGAGGTGCCCTTGAGCAAGGCACCGAACCCCCAACTGCTCCCCGGGCGCCGCAGCATAAATGGCTGCCCACTGCTCCGGGTGTGTGTTCACTGCTGTGTGTGTGCACTTTGGATGGGTTAAATGCAGAGCACTAATTGGGTCACCATACTTGGCCACAATCACATACTTTTCAATTAACTGGAGAAAATATCCATTTGGTAAATGAATTAAGCCAACTAACATGATTCATATTCTTTTGGTTTCTGTACCCAATATTTTTAAAAATTGCAAAAGCTATGAAAACACAGGTATAGGTATTGGCAAATTAAAATTTTTTTTTTTTTTGAGCAATAAAGAAATAGTATTAGAAAAAATAAATTTATATGGGCCAAACTGCACTAAACGTTTTAAATTTAAAAGGGTAATTCACTGCTGGCTTTTAATAAAACTTGGCTGCAGAAAGTATGCAGTAGAAAGGCATATTTCTTCTTTAAATTGCTACATGACTAGAGAAAACAGAGGAAAAAAGCTGTGATGTTTCCTTTTGCCAAAAAAAAGGTAGGGAACCTTCAACCCCCATAATGCACTGGGCTCGATCCGACTGTTCATGGACAGGGACACATAAAATCAAAAGATCGATCTGTAATTTTACATTTTATGTCATCCAGTGGATTTTGCTGACAAATAAATAAAGATCTTTGTACACATTGTTCATTTACACATATTACTGACATTGTAACAGTACAAAGCTGATAAAAAAAATCAGTGTTTATTATTATTATAAATAAAAATATTTTAAAGTAAAAGCATTTAGTTCTGTTTGCCTCATACAAATTCTATTTTTCTAATACTACTTAATTTCTTTCTCAATAAATATATAAATGATTAATTTTTAATGTCCAATAATAATGATTATTATTATTAACTAAATAATAATTATACTAAATAACTGATAAATAATATATTTTTTTCCAAAAAAGGATTTAATAATAAGAATGTATCACATTATTACTTTAATAAAAGCCTGATTAAAAAAAGATCAGTGAAGCTGTAATGGAAATGCACTGCATACTCTATGTTTGTCCTAGTGTCAGCATGACTCCACCATTAATGTGCTGTTGAATTTATGAGACTGAAAAACAGCAGAGATTATCATGATGTCTGATTATAAGAACAACAGCTGTCAATATTTCATTACCTTTTTGTGCCTGGCTCCATTATTGTCTGAAAGTCAGTTAAAGTCAAAATAATTTCAACAAAAGTACAACAAAAGCTGTTGTGATACAAAAACCAGGTGCATCACATTTATTTTTCATGTGAATCTATGAAGTCAAAAGATAATATGACTAAACTGGGCAGCAGTGACAGTACCTCTGTCCTCCAGGGTGCATTGTGTTGAGGAGAGAGGGGGAACTGAAGATTTGGACTCTGAAACAAACACTTTCCCCTCCCACTGGATCCTGTTCTCTTTAATCACATGGACCTGAACATGTTGGAGACAGAGGACACAGACACTGAGACAAAACAACACAGCCATACACAACAGTGCAACCAAACCTGAGCTGTCTTGTAGGAAACATTACAGAATAAGAGGGCAAGCTGATTTACCACACTGGGTAGAAGCTGAGGATCGAGGCCGTACCGAGACTCTGTCTTGGAATTTGACACTGGACTTGTCTGACAAAAGAGAGGAAAAGAAATTGATCCTTCAGTAAATTCAATACAAATCATGTTGGCCTCATGCTTCTATAATAGACAAGACTGAGACAATTAAAACAGACTGCAAATGTAACACTACATTTCCATCACATCCAAGCTTTCCATCAATCACATACAAGCCATAATGATGACACATAATCAGCACTTACTCATTAAAGTTCTCTCTGTTGGGGAAAAAGAAGTGTGATTGTAACAACTTTTTAATTTAGGTATTTTTTAATTTCCAGAACTTTTCCTATGCTATCTTATGTCGTGATGCCTTGAATTGTTTTATTTCATTCCAATTTTTTTTTTTTATTTAATCACTAAATTAGTGATAAAAGTTAATGCTTACACCGTCACTAGTAGAAACAATACAATATTTTACATATTTTTTTCACTTGTATTTTAAAATATATTTGATTGTATTTTACCATAAAAAAGATTTAATCCATTTTTTTTTAGATTACAATGTAGACTTACAGTGAGAATTTTTTATTTAAATGCACATTGATCTGGGACAGCTAAATGATTTAATACCAGATAAAGGTGAAAAACATTCAAGAATAATATAATATATATAAAATTGTATGAGATAAAGTATAGGAAGTATAGAAGTATAGAGTTTAGGATTTTAATAAGATTGAAAAAGGAAAATGTACCTCGAAATAAACTAAAAAATAAATTATAAATAAATTAAATAATAATAAAAAAGCACAATATCCCCCGATCTCCCCTACATTGTCATGCTCTCACTGGTAATGAGTAGTTTCTCTGTGGCATTCCTTGAGTCGTCATATTTGTGATCTCAGGAACAGGCTTTAACACATCTGCGACAAGACAGGTTCAAAAATGTTGTCATTTTCTTCCATCAGACAGCGAAATTCTCCATAGATTGTGATGTTCTAAGATTTATTATGCTTACCCTGGTAGCTTTGCTGTGAGGGGTCCCAGTACAGTGAATGAGGCCGATGACCTGCTGAGGTTCCTGTCATGTGGGTCATCGGGGTCACACTCTGCTGATCTGGGTTCAGGTTTGGGTAGTGATAAGAAGGAGGTGCACGGCTGGGAGAAGGCATGGTTGGGGTCCTGGGGCTCTGTCCGGCCCATGGCTGAGGTGGTGGATGTGTATAGCTCTGGTTTACCGCAGGAACATCCATTCTATTGACCAATTTAATCTACCTTTAAAATCAAAGACAACATTACAGAGCAAAGTCATTCTGTTTCATAATCGATTAAGTCCTAAAAACCAGTATGTAAACTGTAGCCTTTCTGGCATGATGTAATTGCAATTTCTATAAAGAGCTTGTTTATACACATAAAGAGATGTATAAAAATTCGGTCTATTTACATATCAGCCATACTACTGTCAAACAGTGATCAGCTGACCGTCCATCTCGTCAAAAAAAAAAAAGCGCTCATCCGTCTGTCGTCTTCAAGCACTATGTATTTGATTGCACGGTACAGAGAAAATACATTTTTTTACCATGCGATGCGTCATGTTAGAAAATTTCAGCACGAGTCGCCCTGAAATAGAGAGAGATAGCTGCTGTTCGTACGGAAATACGGGTACTGATGCAGAAGCCGGTCGCCTGGGTTACCGTCAGCTCACATTATTATGTGTCAGTCTTCAGCTCCGTCACTGCTCAGATGCTAGAAATGTCAAAAGGCATAGAAACGTAATAAACATGCAATTTCAACATTGTAGAAGGCCCTCTGTCTTCCGTACTAAAAGCACCGTTTTCAAAGTGTGTAGTGTACTGTGCGCACAGCGTGCAAGTCTCACCAAAATTATAGTTGCAATATCGCTATTATGGCCTCAAGGTGGCAGAACTGCGTCACCAAACACCAAAGTGGACTTCCGCCCTAAACGGACCAGTGACTCAAAATACGTATGAATAGGTGTGGTGTGAACCTGTTTTTATACAGTCTATGGTGCTGCCTCACAAGTTCTTTGTTACAAACAAGATAAAAGAAATCTGTTTCAAAATATTTCATAAATTCTATCCTGTTAAAACATTTTCTCAGTAAGTTTAAGAAGGATTGATGTTAACTGCTCTTTTTGCTATTTGCACTTGGAAACTGGGCACTGTAGTTATGTTAAAAAGTTATAGTATGATGTCTCTATGTTTATCAAAGAAAAGGTACTCTTTCATTTTAATTTGCGTTTCGAAAATGTAGTTTTGGGATATTTTAAATATGATAATGTAAATAACGAAGTTTTTGTTATTAATCTATTTATTTTGTTGGTTAAGTTTCACATTCATAAGTGTAAATTTTCTAACAAAAAACCCTGTTTTACAGTGTTTTTTAAAGAGTTGGAAAATTACTTGTGTACTATTCAACATAGTACTAATAGAAAGGCAATTAAAACTGTCAGTTTGTGTTCTATCTTCAAAATCGTTGAGTAATGTAAAGGTCATGCATGTCTCTGATTGTATATATATATATATATGTATTTTTTTTTTTTTTTCTTTTATCCTTTGTTACCCTGGCTTTGCATTGTTTTGTATATGTCGTTTAAAGCATAAAAAAATAAAATAAATACAGTCTATGGTGTGAACGCTATGTGAAATGTATTGTATGCGTTTCAGAATATTTACTAAAATTAATATGATCAACATTAATACAATTCATCACTGAATCTACAAATATAAATATTATACAAGATTACGGGTAAAGTTTTATTATTTATTTAGAAAAGTTGCTCAGTTCAGTTACAAAAATACTATCTTATTATTTATTTATTTTTACCTCATACATGGGTAAATCCTACACTACACAATCACTGTGTTTACATGATACCTCCTTTATTTTGGATAAATACAGTTCTTAATACAGCATATTTATGCAAAAATACTACATTAACCCTTTAGTGACTCAGAATCTCATTCCACCCTCTACCTCATCAACTTTTTATTTTTTTGACCCTACCACTTTAGCTTTCCATAACTCTTCTGTGATGAATTGTCATTCAAAAAGAAAAAAAAAAAGTATAAATAACATTGATCATGTTCTATTCTACTATTACTTATATGTTGTTAGTGTGCAATTAAACCAATGACTGGTGTTAAATAAGTGAACAATGTGCAGTTTCCTATGTACAGCATTCTTCTATGTATCCACCTTATATTTCCCATAAGAACGGTCACGGCCATTTGTAAATTTAATGCGTCTGGCTTCTGGTGTTGCTTCCAGTTATTTTTAGCTGTACAAAACAGCTCATTATGCTGCTTGAAACTTTTTTTTTTTTGCCATATTATTTTAATTTATTGTCTTAATTATAAACACACTGGTTTGTATCACAAACCATTTACTGCACTTTGATATTCTTCTTGTTATTTCCCTATAGTAGCTAATGAAGTCTCGCACATTCACAAAACAGCTTGAAACATTGAAAAATAAGGTGGATAGCTCAGGCCTATGTGTCGTTGTGTTTTAAAATATAAATGGAGTACACAAGTAATGAATCCTGTTCTATAATTTACTGCAATATCTATATGATAAGTGACAAATAAAATACCAGAATATAACTAAATATATTCAATATTATTATTTTCTTGACTTTAAGAAGCCTCACATTTTTGCATCTGGCAGTTTGTAAATGTGAGACGTACAGTATTAATGTGTAAAACACACATGCCTTTAAGGGTTAATGTGCTCATAAAGGCCAGTTATTTACACAGTAGTTCATCATAGTTAGAACAAACACTTGCCTAAAACAAGAACAGAGGTGGAGGTGGTACAGTAGTAAATATTTAATGTACTCTTCTGCATGCCCTCAGTCCACTGATGTAATATTCATGAGGTCAAGAGGGCTGAAGGCTACACTCTAAAATTCACCTGCTTAACACATTCAGATATGCGCGCACACACACACACACAAAATCACACCATTAAGCATAAATATATACCTTTCACAGTAGGCTGGACTTATATTTTAAACATTTGGTTAATAAGAGTCTTGAGTTGTCTTTCTTCTGTGTAATTATACGCCCAATACCAAACGCTCAACCCTGGCAGCACACAACAAGAAGGCCCCAAGAAGAGTGACCGCCATAGTCCTTGTAGTTTTATTACAGCACTTAGCCTCCCACCTGCTATCTCAGAGTGAGGCTATTGACTCCGCACTGTCCTTCTCACACACACTCTTCAGAGAGAAGAGGAGGACTTCAGCATAAATGCCATAATTTACTGCCATTATAAAAATAAATGGTGTACAGTAATACCTTGGCCATTACTCCTGAATCTTTCAACAACGGTAAATCTTTGTATACTAGGTCATTTCCTAGAAAAGGAACAAGCAATTGACTTGCATACTCATAACTCTCTTCCTCTCTTCATCATCTCATGATTTATATCAGCACTAAAATCATTTTCATTGTTGCAACAAAAAATGATAACAGAGGTGACAAGGTCAGTCTTATGTTCACCTCTACAAAATCCAGAGACTAGCTCTCTTTAGGCTTCGATACCTTGTTACCTTGTTTACTACTGTTTATTCTAAGTCAGCATCCTTATCGTGCATGGATTTCATCAGTTACTGATTTCTAATACTCATGCAAAGTGAATGGGTGAATCAACTAGATTAGCCCTTAGCTCAGGTTGAAACTAATGTAATAATAATGAACACAAATACACAGCACATAAATATTAAGTGAATTGGATGAATCTATTTTTATTTATATTTTTCAGTTTCAAATTAAATTTAAGTCAAATTATAAGTATAATTATAATCTCGGATATACTTGTTCACTGTCATCTATTATCATATTTAGCCTATATAATGGCTGTACATGACAATGTTAATTTTAACAAACTATTAAAAATAGTTTCATTAAATTAAATTAAATTATTTGAAAAATGTAACCTAAAAAAGAATGAAAATGTAAAATATCGCTTTGGCAACTAAGTGAAATTAAATAAATGCCACAATTACTACAATTAAAATTGAAATAAAAATAAATTACGGCTAAATAGAAATATTAAAAATGGCAAAAACATGTAACAAAATTTCTACCTAAAAAAACACTCAAATTGAAATGGAAACTGGAAATATAAAAATACAAGTAGTCTGAAAACACTACTCATTTAGACCAATGCAACTTTGACGAAAACAAGGTATCTCAGGCAGCATTACTACAGTATTTATAAATCCTCCTTTGCTCTATATGGTAAATAATACTGCAAATATGCAAAGCTATTCATACGATTCCAAGAATTCCTACAAAATAAAAAATATATGGAAAGCAATGAAAAGCCACTTCACATCAGGCCATTAAATCTCTCAAATGTAACTGAATAATTCAGTAGTGTGCATTTAGGTACAAAGGGAGTTCTAAACAAAGGTCACCACACGTTTCCTGCAGTAACACCAGGCAATAATGCTGCTTTTGGGATGACAGTGTTCTCATAGCACTTTTGCAGCATTAACTGTGAATTGAAGTGATTAGGCTTTTATAAAATGATTAAATCGCTCTAGTCTAGAAAACTAGGCTTCGAGTACACACTATGTGACTAAGAACCCACTTCACAATTACCGTCAAGTGTGTCTTCTTCATATAAAGATGGTGGGGACAGTTCTGAGGGAGGTGCAGGTGCAGCTTGTCATGAAATGTTGAACTACACTAACGTTCAAATGTTATCGGTATGATGTGATCATTTATAAACATTTTTTATTTATTTTATTTTTTTAGAAAGCTTCTTATTCTTACCAAGACTCCATTTGGTCAAAATTGCAGTAAAACAGTATTGTGAAATATTATTAAAATTTAAATAACTGTTTTCCATTTAAATATATTTTAATATAATTAATTCTTGTTTTTAATGATTTTATTATTAATTATTGTTTTATTCTTGTAATTAATTTCCAGCAGCCATTATTTCAGGTATGTCACCTGATCCTTCAGAAATCATTCTAAAAACATGCTCTAAAAACATTTCTTATTATTATCAATGTTGAAAACAGTTTTGCTGCTTAATATATTTGTGGAAAACATGATACATTTTTTCAGGATTCTTTGATGAATAGAAAACTCAACAGAACAGAAATCTTTCGTAATATTGTCTCCACTGTCAATTTTGAGCAATTGAATGCATCCTTGCTAAATAGAAGTATTAAAAGAAACTTACTGACACCAAACTTTTGAATTGATATTTATATTGTATGTAGTGAAGACTTACAAGAATTTATAGATTATGCACAAATAATGTTTACAAGTCAAAACTGAAATGTAAACAATAATATATCTAATAGAAATGTCCAAAAATCATTTCAAAAACCATTTCATATATATGATGCCATATATCTATCTATCTATCTATCTATCTATCTATCTATCTATACATATATATTTTGCAGCAAGCGATGGGAACAAAATCGGCCATGGCAAAAAGTGAGGACCACATGACGTCGGATGAAATAAAGATCTTTAACCATATATAGGACTATACATATATATATAATCTCTTTGCAGCAAGCGATGGGAACAAAATCGGCCATGGCAAAAAGTGAGGACCACATGACGTCGGATGAAATAAAGATCTTTAACCATATATAGGAGAGAGGTTGTCACTCTGAAGCTGCACTGTTTGCTTGAAGCTGAGGTGAAGGTAACAGAGAGGTATCGTGTTGCGAGAGTTGTCTGGAGAGACATACAGAACGACAGATGCACCAAGCAAACAACAGCTTTTACCACGAGGGAACAGGCCACCATCCAGGAC